CCCACAGTAAGCCGCGACCATGTGTCACAGCAGGGAAAATGGCCACGGATCCTGTTCGTCACCCGATCCGGCGTTCGCGAACGGAAGCAAAATTTTGCGAACAGTGCTGTTCGTGATCCGAATTGGTCGTGAACAGAAGCGTTCATGACCCAAGGTACCACTGTATTTCAAGATCAGCCATTCTACTGATTCCCACAAAGGTTTTCTCCATCTGCTGAAGCAATAGGCTATCAATATATAATAATAACTGGCAGGGGCAGGTAAATAGAGCTGAAAAATACTTTGCATTTGTAGTTAAGAAAGGGGGAGAGAATAACACAACAATCAAGATATGTTCAATAATTTGATTAATGAATCATTCCAGATCAAGGGTGGTTGGCTATTATTATTACATTTTTTATCCCACCTTTTTAAAGTATAACTCAAGGCAGTAAACATACCTAATACTTCTGCCTCCTATTCAGTGTACAGTAGAGTCACCATAAACAGAAAGCATGTTGAAATATTTTTCTTTACTGCTTTCTACCCAGTACAGGTAGTCCTTGCTTAGCAACCCTAACTGGGACCCAAATTTCCATGGCTAAGCAAAGCAGTTGTTAGGCAAAACATCACATGACCGCACACTCAACATGTTTCATCCAGATTGTGGCTTTCTGTCCTGTGTATAGGTTTGACATGAGGACAATGAGATATTCTGGGATGCCCATTTTCATAAGGGCATTCCACAGCTTGACATGGTCAACAAAACTGAAAGCCTTTGTATAATCAATGAAGCCATACTGAGCCTGTTCTTTGCCATGCTATTTCAGGGGTTTTCTTCAGCTTTTGATCCCAGACATGAATGTGCCACATCTTTTATTCTCTGATTCTCCTGGTAAAATGTAGTTGAATAGATTCTAAGCTTCACCTGTTCCTACCATGTAATTTCATTACATAAATCATATTTCTATTAAATTTATAAACATGATTCATTAACACTTGTTTGTGTAGATTCCCATTTTTGGGAAAAAATGCTCATGTTTCCTCAACAAAAAGTATATGGTTAAGTACGGCCAAAAGGCCTTCCTAAACAGAGGCGTAAGTTCCAAATCAGTAGTACTATTCCTGGTCCACTGGGACAAACTATAAGCTCAACCCAATTTCTTGGTTTATTAATCCATAATTTCTTATGAAAGCCAAACCAAGAGAATTTACTACAAAAATAAGTTTAAAAACTAGGATCAACTGTGTTTGCAATCCTAGAGGGAAAAATGCTGTTAATTAAGCTAGAAATCATGGGAAACTGGGGTTTAACAACTGTGAAAATCACTTACACTGATCATTATGACAGATCCAAGAAATCTAGGATCAGGAATACTACAGTTAAACCAAGTATATTATCTTTGTACATGAAGACTTATTTTGCTATCTACCCCTAAACCTATCACTGAACAATTTTCTGTGTTATTTGTCTTACCCATTTTAAGCCATTTAACTTAAAAGCTATTACAATATATTATAAATCTACACATTTATTACATAGTGCATGAAGGGTAGTTCTTTTTCTTCATCCAAACTCTGATCTCTCTTAATCTTTTTATGTGCCTTTGTGTTTTCCTAGCACTACAACACATCATGTGATAAAGTGATCCAAAGTCATTAGAATAGTTTTAAATGGTTCTTATTACAGTTTTCTGTTAGGGATGGGCAAAAGATCAATCTTACTTCAGATTAACTCAGAAATTCTCTGAATTCTTCTGAAAATACTTGCCCTCAAAAATACCTCAATTCTTAATAGTCAGCATAATAAAAAGCCATTACAGTGGTACCTCGGGATACAAATG